CTTTATTAATGATATTTTCAGAAAATATTTTTGCTGCATCTAGTCACTAGCATCATTTTTCTTCACTCAAATTAGGTGTAGAAATAAAAACAGCAAATCTTAACTGCTTAGTTATAAAAGCCTAAATTGTTTTCCTAAGGTTAAGTTCTCCTTTAAATACTGTTTGCTGTATGTATTTGCTTAGAATTTCTTCAAAATTAATGTGAAAGTAAGTCTCAACTTTGTTTCTGTAGATTGGCAAAAGGAATATAGGAAATTATTACAAAAGAGGGGGTGTGTGTGCTTAAAGATTTCAGTAAAGCATAACATATCAGGTAAAACACACATACATAGATGAAGTAATCTTCTTTTGAGAAAAAGCTATATGGGTAAAAATGGAAAGGAAATGTAGCAATATGCTTTACTGTCTGATATATTTTATTCTTTCTCCGGGTAGTGGTTTGATAGATGGCTTTAATTCTCTCTTTTTTTAAAAAGCAACAACAATAAACCTCTAATAGACTCCAACTTTCTATTAACAGACATAAAGAAGAGGAAAAAAAGATGAGAAAATGTCGTGTTTTAAGGAACAAAATCAAATGAAGTCTTACCAACAATGAGTAGATATTACTTCTATAGAATATCTGTCCTTTTGACTATCTGTTTGCTAGATTATAACTCATCTCATAGAATCACCCAGCCTAGGACATACTTTTCTCCAGAGGCTGTGATGGAGAACAAATGAAATTGAGTGAGAGCAGAACTCTTTTTTTTTTTTAAATGTATTTGGTACAAGGTCTCACTACATAGCTTGGACTCATAGTGATCCTCCTATTTTCAGCTTCCCCAACATTGGGATTACAGATGTGGACCACCATGCTTGGCGTCATTTGCTGGCTCAGCACACACAGGGACAGGGATGGCACCTGTGGTACAGGGGATGGAAACCCTGTCCCTGCATTTACCTAAGTAGGCACTTAGTGCCCTGAGCTATCTCACCAGCTAGAGAGCAGAACTTTTAACAGGCATAACGCTCTCCACATTAGTAAGAAAACAAATAAACGTAACTAACTCATACTGGTGTGCTGTTGATCCAAGGCGGCAAAGTCTCAGTCAGACAGGAGGAATAAGTCCAAGTGACTAGCATTAGTGTACAGTTAATGTAGTATGCACATGAGAATTGTTAAAAGAATGCATTGTAAGTATTTTCATAACAAATAAATGACAAATGTGTGAGTACATTTTCAGACTTTTACTGTTGTGATAAAATACCTGAGGAAGTCAACTTGAAGGCAGAAAGATTTATTTTGGTCCATGATTTCAGAGGATCCAAGTTACCACTGGCTTGCTCCTCATACCATGATGGGAGGGCATGGCACAAGAAAGCTGCTTGCCTGATGGGGAACAAGAAGCAGAGAGGAAGGGAAAGAGCCAGAGAAGGAGGGGATGAGAACCAAACGTGGTTCCCAGTGTCATGCCCCATTATCCTTTCTCTCAGGTCAACATATTCTTTCCATCACCTCCCAGTAATACTGACAGGAGCTCATCAGTAGCTTAATCCTCAAACTCTAAGAGGCACCACAGCACCCAAGCCTTCCATATAATGAGGGTAGGGGGCACATATTAGATCCCAAACATAACAGTAAGGCAATTTATATACTAATTGGTATCCTTTAGCCATATATAAATATTATATGTCATGGGATACATAATAAATATACATATCTAATTTTTATTAATTAAAAGTAATTAATGAGAAGAAAATCTACCAGCTTTCCAGTATGTGTCATAAACACCATGCTGTGTCTTCTGAATGTTTTTGTAATTTAACTTGAAAAACAAAATAAGAATGAACAGCATTGAAAAGTATCTTAGGCTTCATGCCAAGTACATTGTCCGTCTCTTCCAGGCCAACACCTTCAGTATTCTCAGTCACTACTTTGCAGAATGAGGGTGGCTATGCAATTTGAGAACCATGAGTTTTATTTTTAGTGGCAAGAAGCATGAATTATTTCAGAGTTCCAAATAGATCCCATAAAACCCATCTCTGATTCTCTATGCCAATAAATCTGCTCTTTTCAACATATGGGTAGTTTTCTTTTAAGTGTACTTTTGTAACTCACTTTCCCCCATGACAACTGTGGTCCTTGTTCCCTTATACACTCATCATCTCTGTAGTCTCCAGCTGGCACTGGTGCAAAGCAAATGCAGTAAAACAACTGCTTAAGGAAGTTGAGAGGACTTTAGAAAGCCTGAGAGGACTTTTCCAAGGAAAATGTTGAGTCAAAAAAAAAAAAAAAAGAAAGAAAAAAGAAAAAAGAAAAGAAAATGATGAGTCAGTAAAAGATTCCAGTTGAATTTTCACTCTCAAGTAAAATATTCAAACGAACTTTGAACACTTATATTTCCAGGTTTTATGAAATATTAGGCACAGTCTGAAAGTTTCTATTCATTTTTT